GTTGAAATGTAGGCATGGGCACCCACAGAAATATTTGGCGGGGGGGGGGGGGGGGCGTTATGTAGAGGAATCAGCTTTTACAGTGTAAGTCAACACTCTTGCCCCTTCCTGCAGGTGTTCATGGATGTAGGCCTACAATAATTTATGGTAGTGTACAAGTGATCCAGCTTGTAGAAACATAAATGGAGGAAACTAAGTATTTTGTAATGCTTACGTGGACTGGACATTTAATTATTTTCACCAGATAAACAATGATACAAGAATATTTGAAAACAAATGAACTTGTATATAATATGAATTTGGACTAAAATGCTGTACAAATTTATTGATTAACTAGAGAGGCCAACATTCCTGAACAAATGCAACACATCTCTGCTACACAATCCCAACATGGCCAATTTTGACACCAGAAAAATGAAAATCTATCACTGCTTGAAGGTATCTCTGTACCAAATTCCATGTAAGTTGGTTGACATACACATGAATTGTCTATATTTCTATTTGGGACATGCAAAGAGTATTTTTGTACTAAATCCCACATAAATTGGTTGAAATATGGCGAAAATAGACCAGAACCTCTAAAATTGTGCTTTTTGACCTCCGAGAAATAACCAAAAATGGCTATATTCCACATTTTTGTTTGGATATGTATGAGACCTATGGAAAAGTATATTCATACCAAATCCCATGTAAATTGATCAAAATATGGCCAACTAATTGACCCAAAATCATGCTTTTTTTTTTATGAGCTCTGACCCACCTATAAAGGCAAATCCACTCTTTTTGTATCTCAACGTGTTTGAAGCATGAAAATTTGTGCCAATTTTAATCATGACTGCTGCAAATACAACTGCATAGGAGTCCAAAATATGCAATGGGGGGGGGGGGTTGAACTTTCACTCCATATAGCCCTTAAAGGCCTAAATCAAAACATTAAAAAGGTATCTGGGCGTATTGGACCAAGGTATAACCCTACCAAGTTTTAAGACAATCTACAGAGAAATGAAAGAATGGAAGTCAATTGAAAAGTTTCTGAAAAAAGAAAATAGAAAAAAACAGTGTCTCTCTGCAGAGACATTATAACAGTGTAATTAGATGTGGTACATTCTCAGAGAATGTGATTTGAACCCATAACACTATTTTACCACAAATATTTTTATACAGAACATTTTAATGTAGAAATTTAGTTTTATTACATTCATATTTATGTAAAAATAGTGATTTTGTTTTCTTTCTACTACACCTACTTTTATACAAAAAATTTTATTAAATATTTGTTCATATGTTTTTGCTATCATGCAAGACATGGAATACTAAATACTTTCTCCTTCTGATGTTGGATAAGTTTACAATCTATTCATTTTTCAGAAACCCAGTCCTATGTTTTAAATTTTCATGGGAGAGTAACTCAAGCCTCAGTGAAGAATTTTCAGATTGTTAATGACAGCAATGGTAAGTTGACTTTAATGTCAGAAATAGGAATGACAATGATAACTTGTGCTAAAAGCATTTTTTATCTAACTCTCATGACAGACTGGGTGATAGGTGGCTTCAGCCAATTTTTAATACTATTGTAGGACAAATTTCTCTAAAACGGTTGCAGAACAAGACGCAGTAAAATAAAACATATCTAACAATTAGTTACAAAAACACTACTAGATTTTACTGAAATATATAATAACAGTATCCCCTCTCCTAATTGAGCATGGTTGCTAGAAAATTGCCTGGCTATTCAAATGGGTCACGAGTTGGGAAACTTTACAAATTCCATGGTATAGAGGATAAATGTGAACTTGCACTATTGAGATACATCCTTTTTATAAATATGTTATGTTTCATTGCATTGTTCTTGTATCCTGTAGCAATTTAGCAAAGACATGTTCTAAAATAATAATTTGATTATTTTTTATACTGCTTTATTTTTATTTCTATGTATTAAGTTAACATTAAACCTTACATTACTTAACGAAGAAAGTCCTCTGAACAAAATATGCACAATTTTAAAAGTACTGTAGTTCTTTTACACTATGTAAACTGGTAATTTATTAAATGTAATTTTGTTTTTTAAGCTTTAATGCCTTTGCTTTTCTATGTTATTGTAACATTTACATACATGCTTGCATCCCAGCATAACCAGTCTTAATATATAAATAATCTAAACAAGTGATTAACTTTTACTCTAGTGCCAATGAACTTGTTTTCTCAGAATCACAATTACCAACTATATTTGTTGGTCAGGTATGCATATCAGCCCCTCTACAAGCATGATCCTACTGGGAGCTCCTAATTTCAAGACATAGTCAATCAATAATTACCATAGTGGGAGTAGCAAATGTGAATTAATGTTAATGTGTTTCAAACTTTTCGAGATCATAAAGTTTTCTGTAGTTTCATGTATTTCTGCACTTCTTTTTCTGCAGTTATTTTGTGTTGAGTGAAATCATAATGTTTATTTAAAGTATTCACTATAAAAAAAGGTGAGTGACTAATCTCATGAAATAACAGGTTAGAATTATGCACTTTAGTGATATCTACAAACAGTCTTTGGCCATAGATGAATTTTTGTATATTATTATATGATAGTTGTCTTAGCCAAGGATCAGGATCTTGGCTCCTAATCATTGATTTTGTACTTTAGGATAAAATATGATAATCACTAATTGACCAATAATGGAATCACGCCAGGTATCGAGAATTTCTTATGAGCAAGAAAAACTGGTTTTACTGGATTCTTTTAAATAATTTCTCCTTTTTTACATGTTATTATCTGAAATTTGCAAGTGTTAATTTATTTGTGTCTGTTAGATCAGTCAGGTTCTTCAAGGTGTTGGAGCCAAATTGAAACCAGTAAGAAAGCACCATATTATGTATGTTCATGTACAGTTTCTTTGACAGCTTATAGTCCACATTTATTATATTTATAAACTAGCACTCTGTGATTTGTGTTGGTCAATCTTGTTGACTTTTCCGAGTCTTAATTTTTGTAGTGATGACTTTCTGTCCTAGATCAGTTTTATTTCTTCCTTCCTTTCCTCTGATATAATATCACTTTCTCCAACCTTGTATTAAGTTTTGGTTAGTTAGTTTGTTTTTTTTAATTTGTGACTGAAATATAATTTTGTTTAATTTATACCAGTGAATTGTAATTTTAGTAACCTCTATTTTGTTTTCAACCTAAAAAATTGAAGTTACTTAGAATGTAAAGATACTTCATTTGTAAGATTTGTATCTTGAACTATGAAAGAAAAAAAAAAAATTGGCAAATTGTTTTCTCAAACATCTACCCAGTTTCTTTTGTCATACCTCTCCCATATACATAATTTCCATTTAATTCTTAGATCATTATAATGCACCAAAAGCTATAAGTCAGTTTCCAGTATAGGTTTTGACTTCACATAGATACTATAGTAATATGTATACTTTGCACTAAACATTATATTTAAAAGGTTTCATAAAAGTAGCTTTTATTTGATATTAAAGCCTGGGTTTTCTAACACATGTTTTTATGATACATTTTAACTTGTGGTTTCTTCAGACATCATTAAATCTTTTGTTAATAATCTTCACATGAGTGGCATTGCAGACTAAACCATAAATTGTTTTATTTTGTTGTTTTAGATTTCCTTTTAAGTACAATTAAACAGACTTAAGAAAGAGATAAATTGCTTCAAAAGAGCATGTTTTAGTAGAAAGTGGAATTTGTAAGAAATAATTAAGAATTAAAAATACTGAGCTGAATTTTTTTAACAAAATCTGTCATTAATTTTTATTGTTAATTACCTGTTAACATGTTTTACCCATATGTTTTTGTTGGTTTCTGAAATTTGTGCATAGCAACACCTCTGCTATTTGTGCTAGATGTCCTTAATTTTGAACTGAAAGACTATAAATAAGGTAGCCAGTCTTGTTTTCCCCAGTTAGAAATTATTTTAATTTGAAACACTGAATATTTGATGTATGATTCATTGATGTTGTACAGTGGTGAAATTCTTATTAATAACGTACAAATACTACTCACCTTTGCCAGGATCTGGCCTCACGGTATGATAGTATCAAGGTTTTTGTAAATTAATGATTCCTCTTTGTGCACCATTCAGTTTGAACAAACAAGAAATACAAAAAATAAAGTAACACTGTACTGGCTTTCAAAAAAAGAATTGGTACTTCACTTGGAATTAAAAAATAAAGAAAACCAGTTTTGAGTTCTGGTGAGTACTTACAGAATTTCACTCCTTATTTTATTGTAATGAAAAGTATATTATTTTTAATTGTATTTCATCATGATAAGTGTACTACTACCAGTGTGTGTTTTATATATATTAAAGTTTTTAATAACTTTATGTCTTTTTAAGTAACTTTTATAAATAAATTGTTTTAACAGAATAGTACTTAAGTGTGATTTTTCACTTTCCTATAGTGGACTACATTGTTATGCAGTTTGGCCGTGTTTCAGAAGATATCTTTAGTATGGATTACAGTTATCCAATGTGTGTACTTCAAGCTTTTGCCATTGCTATCTCCAGTTTTGACAGCAAACTAGCATGTGAATAATTTCTATAGTACCAGTGAGAATATTTAGAAAAAAAAAAGATTGGTGGTTTTACATTGTTCAATCCTGCTGTAAAATTGCATACTGAGTGATACTTTAGGAATAAGAGAAATGAAGATAGGTGTGTTTTTGTCTAAGGTGGGTGTTTAGGTTAGATGGTGAGAAAGCCATTAAGGATAACAGTAATCAATGTCAATTTGCATTATGTTGATAATTATGACCTATGTTTTGTAGTGTGTTCTCTGCACCATACAAATACATATCATATACAAGGTACACAAATACACAAAATGTTGTTTGAATCGTTTTACAACATAGAGAAAACATTGTGATATTGTATGAAATATTTTTCAAAAGATGTATGAATTTTATTATGTCCATCAGTTTTCTCTTATTTATCCAAAATGCATACAGACACTGACTGCGAGTTAATTTTTTTTAAAGAGGACTACAGATAATCAAACATATATCAAAGCTTTTAAACTATGAGCATATTGTAAAATATATTTAGTAACTGTAAATTTGAAAAAGCTTAACTGTATGACTGACTAATAAATATTAAAACAAATAAGCAACTTTAACTTTGATTTTTCATTGTATCTATTACTACATCCCTTGTCTTCCACATATAACTCAAGTAATCTTTTTTTATTTTTATGCTGTTATTTTGGAAAGACTAGTTTTCCTATAAATGATGTATTATGTATATTAAATGTAGATGTTCTATATATTTTAATCCTTCTTTAACCAAGCATAAATATCAAATTACAAATTAAAATTTCAAGCATTAAGCATATCACCTATTTGTGAAGTCCACTAAGATTATTGGATTTCTTTTATTGATACCCTTTGTAAACGATTTTTTTTGTAATTTTATTTTGTCCAGTAGAATATTTTACATGGTTTAATTTCATTACCACTAATGTATTAATTTATTTCTAGTAAATAACATGTTTTAATAAAAAAATATAAAGATATACATGACAGCTACTATTTCATAACAATCAACATATTCAAATCAACTGAAAATTTGAGTTATTTGTTCTCAATCTTGGATTCCAGTTGGTCCAAATAATTTTTGAAAGGTCTTATATCACAGGGTTTCCTAATGCTTCACATTGAATACAAAAATCTCTTTGCAAAGCTACAGTGTATTAGAGTAATAAAACTGATGTAAAATACTTAACAAGGTTGTACATTGATTTATTTTAGATTATAAAACAGGTCATTTTGTTTTGCAGACTTGCTTTTAGTGTATATTTTGAAAAAAAATACTTCTACACTTTAGCTAGCTGTTAACAAGGGAAACTACCTGCTTATGTAGCTTGGATTTAAGCCATGTTCAGGTTCTGTAAGTTATACTGATATTCATACCTGTTTCAAGAAACAGTTTATACATCAGTGGCATAGCCAGGTGTGAAATTTTTGATGGGCCCAAAGTTACAATAGATGGACAGGAAGTGTACAAATCTTTGAAGACAACTTACAAGAAGCTAAAGAAAAAAAAAAAGAGGGGAAACCATCATGTCTGTCAATGTCTATGCCCCTGACATATGTACTATTAAATTCTCAATTATTTAGGTGTATTATAGTATAAAATATCAGTAAGATGTTTTTTGATGTAATAAAAACTTGAGTGGGATTGCTAGCTTTTGTAATGTCTTTTTAATTATATGTATAGGCTATTTCAAATAGCTAATTGATTTACATCTGTATAGCATGAGTACTGCACAATGTTCTAATGATTTTCATTTTTGCACAACAGTTGTACTTGGAATTCTAGAAAATAACATTGTAAGATTTTATGAATTTGTCCAAAACTAGGTTTTAGTGGCATTGTGTTTATATTTTACATTTTGAAAGCTGTTCTATTGTATTATTCATCAATAATGTTGTTGAGCAGTAAGTTATGCATTACTGTTAATGTAATTAATGGCTTTGGGTTGTTAAACTTCATTATTTTGATTTTTATCTCAGAATTCCTGTCAGAAAAGTGTTAAGTTTCGTTTTTTGAAATACAGTTTGATGTAGAAAGAATGATAATTAGAGAATTATTATGGAAAGGTAGATGGGATAAAGCTTTAGAGCTATCAGAAAATGGATTAATTTTGTCTGTTTTGTATTGAGATGTGTTTGGAAATGTCTGAAAAACATGTTAGTTTTTGTTTCATAATTTAGGCTCATTGATACATCACAAGTGGACTTACGCTCACAAAATATGTGAAAAATGTAAAATATTGTGTTTTTCATTGACAAAAAGCTACTAGTGAAAACACCTCATGGTAGACAGAACAAATTGTCAACTAGAGACTGAAGAGGATGCAAGAATGTGTTGAAACTACTTTCTCTGATATAATACTTCTGACAGTTTGTTCCTTTACTGTGGTTTTTCATTAATTGCCACACAGCCAGTAGGGGACCTTTCTCTCCAACCCCCAGACCACAGCCATTTTTGATTATTTTATCCCCCCCCCATTTCTTTCCTAAATTTACAGGCCTGCCACTATACATAGTTTAAATTCAGCATTTTTGATTAACATGTTTGTTTTCCTGTATATAACTATATATTATTATATAACTATATATAATAACTAAAAACTAGTTCTTTGCCTTTAACTGAATTTTGATTTGAAAAATAGACATTATTTCTTCATTGGTTTTGAAACTTTACTTTTGCCAACTGTTATAAAACTAAAATGACAAAGTTTAATACAATAATGGAACATATGCTGTAAGTATTTTACTGAGCATATAGTCATTTTTGGTCAACATTGAACAAGCTTTTGGTTACAAAATAATCTGATTGTGTGCTAAGCTGCTGGTCAAGTAATTTATATGTCATAATAAATAAAGATGGCATTATATTTGAAAGGGTGGCAACCGTTCAGTCCAGATGATGACAGCAACTCCAACCTAGAAGTGTGGTATCAGAATTTATTTCCAAGTTTAATGGAAGATGTTTTTGAATACTATAAACATAGTGTTTATCTGATTTTGTAACCATGTTTATTACTGGTTTGTTTACAAAACTTCAATGTTTTATATGCTTAAAACTGTTTCTTCTGAAATGCCCATATTTGTTTATACTTGAGAATTATATCTATAATAAAAATAATATGCTTAATTTTGTTTAGAAATAATGTGTAAAATTTGATAATTAGAATTTTCTGTTGGCTTGCTGGTGGGATCCTAAATATTTTTTATATTTTCTGTTGCTTGTAATTTAAACTTAACTGGCTTCAAGTGAGTGTAATAATCAACAACACATGTTTAAATCAACGTTCTCTAACCACAGAAAAGCTATTTCTCTTGAACATAAAAATTAGTGAAGTGTAGAATTTCAAATGTTTAAAAAGTATCCTTTTCTAACTCCATGGAATAGACAAAACTCAAATATGCTATAACCTAGTGATGTTTATAGCTGTGCAATAATTGCTGGGGTGCAATATTCTCTGAAGGTATACAAATTCAGTCTCTTAACTTGGTCACTTTTGATGATTTATTTTGAACTTTTTAAGTTTCTGCCACTTCATTTCATTCTTATGGTGTTTGTAAGCCAATGTCTCTATATTATTAGGAGCACAGTTTATGTAACTCAGGTATTTTTCCTCAAACATAGACAACCTTATCTACTAGTTTGTAGTACTGCTTCAAACATTTTAGCTATGAACTTTATAAAAGTTTTACCTGCAATTGCAAGGAAATTTTAAAATAATTGCTCTTAGAAAATATGAATATACCCCATAAAACATAAAAACTATCAAAGAATATATGCCAGACTTTTCTTGTTTATCTAATTTAAAGTAAAATAAATGAAACAACAGTAGTTACAGATTGGGATTAAAAATCCTATTTTCATCTATTATCATTATTACTTTTTGCAGCCCAAATCTAAAAACTGTAATCCAAAGAACAGTCTAATGTTAATCTAAGAATCTATTCTTACAAGTACATTATTTTGTTTTATAGATGTTTTGGTACAAGTCTCATATAGTTGCCAAAAATAACATTTTAATATTTTGTCAAATACATTTGTTGTTGTTGATCTTTTTGTCAGCTACGTTTGTAATATGATGCTATGTTATTACTTGCATGCTCTGATGTTGGTTATATGTCATTTATTGGTTATATAGATTGTAACCATTGATAATTATTTTCAGTCACAATTTCATCTTTATGCTTGCATTCTGAATCATGAAGAAAGAGAAAAATGAAAACTTTGTATAAGGTTGTGCATTTACTGAAATTTTCATTGAGTGATATCCAACTAAATGCAGCATTGTAGTCATCCCCTCCGTCCTTATGTGTACCCATTCGTTGTGCAGTTTGTAATTTGTGGTTGAATAGGCATGTAAAACAATGTTTACTTATATATTTTCAGCTGTGTACGAATACATAATTCCTATATTTACCAATGTCTATATATGTATATAATGTGTGAATAATTAATAAAATTTTATCAAATCTGTCTAAACGTATGTTGTGTAAATCATTAACTAAATATGATATTCATAAAAAGTAAGTTTATGTATACCATCCAACAACTAACACACTACTATGTAATGTAGTTTTATGTTCATGATGACACATTATAGGCAATGGTTGGCCCTGTGGTAGAGCTCTGCATTTCAGAGTTGGCAAGCAATGTTTGAATCCATTATCCGACTGTACTTTTAAGTTGTGAGTGTGTTATGAGAGTGACAGTCAATCCCTTTGTGTGGGTAATAAGGTGCTAACTGACTGGCTGTCTCCCCTTACTTGTTTTCACACAACCATCTCTCACTACTTTGCCATTTCTAATATAGTGTCACATATTGCTACTTAAGCTGGGGACTGAGGAAAGTGTCAACAGCAAGATGAGACATGGAATGTTGAAATTTCACACAATAAGAGGGTTCATGCCACAAATTAAGTCAGTGTAGTAATCTTTCTCCAATTATTAAGTCAACAGGTAGTCAGATTCCTATAATAACAAGAACATAATGTTTAGCAAAGTAGATGTGGATGCTCAGTGTGTGTGTGTGTGTGTGTGTGTGTGTGTGTGTGTGCAAGCCAACTGGATGAAATACTTCAGCTGTAGGACACAAAAATGTGCTAGGAAAAACACAATAGATGACACAAATAATAAATGAACAGTGACATAATATAACAATGAATGAAATTAAGCTTAAAATAAAACTTGAGAAAAGGTAAATCTTTATATGAAAAAATATTGCAACATAAGGTGGACACACTGGTCAGCTGACGTAACTAGAAAAATCTTACTACTTTGGAACACAACTGGTTGGAAACCAAAGAAAAACTCTCTACAGGGTAGACACAGACTGATAACTTTCTTAAAAAGCCAATCCCAGTCAAATGGGTGAAACCTGACTCCTCAACTTCTCAGTTTGCCTGTTGATGTTTAAAAGGATTACCACCAAAAAGTTTGAACACCACCCATAAAGATGATCTAAGTAACACTGAAATAGCACTCTGACTGTCCCTGCAATTTAAAAGTTAAAAAACTTTTCACAAGTTGATAACAGGTGTATTTAGTCCCATAACTGAACCTAAAACTTAAAAAAAAATGTATGCCCAAATATATGAATATTACCTCTCCTTTCTTTATTTCATGCCTAAATACGCCTGACCAAAAACTTAATATTAAAACTTAATGAAACTTCTAAAGTATGAAACCATAATATCTACACAAATTTTAATCTTAGGAAAACAGCACAAATGCAGGGAACACTATCCATAAAAAATTACAACATACTGGCATCATTAGTTCATTACACTTATCTACTATGTATATGAACAGGCATTAAATAAAGATAAGACAAAAACAGACCGAAAAAAAAATGCTACATTTGCAGGTAATCTGTAGTTTGTTAATTAACTGTGGTCTGGACCACAGAACGCTATTCGGTATTGAGAGTATACGTGCAGATCTATTTTTAAAATTTAAGTAGATAATAATTTTTCAAGAATTTCAATTTAAAATTTTTTATAATTGACATTTTGTAACAGTTATTTAATGTAATTCCAAAAGAGAGAGGAAAAAGTTTCAACTTTCGTTTTTTAGAGCTCTGAGGAGTCTCTCCTTTAAACAACCTGCTTATATATATATATAATACTTCTACCCTTCCTAAAGAATAGGTTTATATTTGACAAAACAAACTACAATCGCCTTATAATACAAGTCCCCCGAAAGGGGGCCGAAGGATGCCTGAAGAATTCACCTGTTTTAACTACTCGCAACACTATACAGTAGTGTGTTGCCAGTCAGTCAGTAGACACTAATATGAGGTCACACAAAGGACGCCTAACGTTGGAATTTGTACTATCGTGACGTCAGTAAAACATGCGCATGCTATGAATCACGAGAAGAATTATGCACACTGTAGGCTACAACACAGAATGATATATGAACTTCAAAATCATGAAATAAAAATATTTATTATTCATAACTTTGGTTTTATGTACTCTTGAAACAGAACATTTTCGGGGACCCTACGGAAATACATATAGTATTTAGAGGTTACTAGACCACCCGTGACCCGTTGGGTCACCCACTATTCAGAGGTTATAAAGAATTCAAGCTAATTTCAATATTGCACCGAAATGAAGGTGTTATTCAAGAAAATATATTTGATTGTTGATCGGGAGTAAAAGGAAAGACCATTTTATTTTTCAAAAAAGTGAAGTCAGAGTTTTCAGGTATTGTGATGAATTAGTTCATTATGTTGTGGTCTTTCCTCTTAAACCTTCTACAAATAAGAAACAGTAACACTATTTTTTCTTCGAATTACCTACCATAACCAAGGCACATTAGTGAGAAATTCTTCAAGATCTTGTTTTTGTTATCTTACACCTTTTAATGAAGATGGGAACATTGACATGGAAATAGATTTGAACGAAGTTTCGTAAAGAGCGCGAACGGTAGTGTGATGTAAAATTACTCATGCTAGAAATTTTAATAAAAGTGACCCGGAAAACTGCACTAATTCGGTAAACGTGGCCCGATTTTAATAAAACTTGTTTTATTCTGTTTCTATTCTCATTTCATTACAAATATGGCGCTACTGTGCGCCGTTTTGCTGTATTTAATTACAGACAAGCACACAAACAATCTAAGAGTTTTAAGAGTATATAGATGATTACACCTATGTGTGATGAGAATGACCAGGCACGTGCATGATAGCGCATGCTTTGTCGGGTAAATACGAGTTTTCTTCAGTCTAAGAAACCTTAAATATTTGACAGTCTATGTTTGAGTTGTTCATGTTAATAATGATCGTTCATTTTGTTCTACACTTGTGTCCAACCTCAGTACCATGTTTAACATTGACTCAGTTTAGTAAAACTTCTAGTAATCAGTGGTGTAACACATGCTCGGGTAAGTACCCGACCTCAAATTAGACCTTTTTTTTTATAGTGATTATACTATACTTGATTGATTTTACTTATCATTATGTAGGACTATCTTTCCAAGAATTTAGAACCGAACATTAGTAGGCTATTTTTAAAATTTAAGTAGATAATAACAATTTTTCAAGAATTGACTTAAAATATTCCTTACCTGAAAATGTTTTATTCATTTTTGCTTTTTAATAAAGACGAGTCTCTTCTACATATTCATTATGATTGGCAATATCCATAGAAGAGGAGGGCTACATCTAATTACATTTCAATAGCGTGCTTATATTCATACCCTATGAGTATTATCGCTATCATTTATAAATGGCTTCATATCAACATCTTTTTTTTTTAATGAATTGTGTGTTGAAACTGTTACATATATACAAGAGAAGATTAACTCCAAGTTCATACTAACTTGTACAGGGAGAGATCAGCCATTATGTGAATCAAGTATAACTTATAAGCTATATGAAATGGTCACTGTGGTATGTGATATGAGCCAGCAGGGAGGATTAATTAATGCAGATCATTACCAGAGGTCCTGGTAGACACTTATAAACACCAAAAATCTATAAATTACTGATCAGGCCATTTTATTTATTCTACATTGTCGCAAAGAGTTTATAATTTGCATTATTCAGTCGTATTCAAATGTTGATTGTGGTTGTCCTCTAAGCTGTGCTTGGTTAGTAATTGTTCAAACCATATGACGTGAAACAACAAAAGAGTGGGGATGAAGGGATGTATTAATAAAACTTAAAAATAAAACAGAAAGAAGACATGTATAACTAACTGTACTTCCGCAGTGTTGCCAGTGGTTAAAACAGGTGACCCCCTCCAGGCGACCTTCGGCCTCCTTTCAGGGAAATCACCTCAGCAACTGTTGAAGGACACTGTTGTTGCAATCCTTACACATGCTTGAACTAAGCAATGTTCTTCATTGGCGGTAAAATATACTACCTACTTCGAGAATAACAAAGGGAGTTTGAAACAAGATTAACACGACGGTTTTATCAACCACGTGTTACATATTCAGAAAATATTCTGAATAACTGTCATAATACTGTTACGTCTCCGTTTGTTAATTAATTTTCCGTAACTTCGTTCCGACGAAATTTTAGCGACACAAGTCCTTACTTAATAAAACTGGTTTATTCTTTCCGAATATAACTTTACGATACACTTAATTTCAACATTCGCGCTAAAACAAACACTATAACGAACGAACGTTAACTTCAACACTACCCTGTGACTGCAGATCTATTACTCACTACCTCACACACACATTATTCTCCCGTCACGTAAATGCAGGATA